GAGTATGGGTCACCATACTTGGCCACATGTCACGTCACTTTTCACTTTTTCACTTTTCACTTTTCAATATTACAGCGAGAATAAAAGTTACTCCTTCTTTCTTTGTGTGAACATTTGGGCGGTGTTATGCAAATCTTCGCACATCGTGACGTAGACATGTGGGGGCGTGTTAGAACGAGCCGTTTTAGGTAGGCGTGGTTAACTCTTAACTTTTATAAAGAATATCTCTTTGGATTTGAGACTTTAGTCTTTGCAACTTTACAGATCTTCTTTATGCACCAAGAGATTGTAACACTCCAAAGAGAAAGGAAAAATTGAAATCGCATCATATGACCCCTTAAATTAAACGAAATCAAAGTGAGAAATGTAGCGTTGGCAACTAGCTAAAATATAAGAAATTCTTAAACTTTATTTTATTTTATTTCAAACAACAAAAATGTTTTTATTATTTTAGTTTTAGTAAACTATAATAACCCTATTTAAGAGTTTCTGCACATAATGACCAAAGAAAACAATTATGCATTGCATAATAGGTGTGATTGATACTGAAAAATAATATTTTTTATCAAACATGTAGCCCACACACACACACACGTGTATATATATATATATATACAGTGGGTACGGAAAGTATTCAGACCCCCTTAAATTTTTCACTCTTTGTTATATTGCAGGTTGACATTTTATTAAAAAAGAAAAACTGAAATATCACATGGTCCTAAGTATTCAGACCCTTTGCTCAGTTTGCTCAGTATCTAAATATGGGTTGTAAGTGGGTTTGTCCACGGGTTCCATGTTGGCCCCGTGCAACTTACCCATGTGGGTTTTATGCAGGATTTCCCTGGGCTTTAGGTGGGCCCAACTGGGGATGATATGCAAAACCCATCTGGGTCCCATCTAAATATGGGTTGTAAGTGGGTTTGTCCACGGGTTCCATGTTGGCCCCGTGCAACTTACCCATGTGGGTTTTATGCAGGATTTCCCTGGGCTTTAGGTGGGCCCAACTGGGGATGATATGCAAAACCCATCTGGGTCCCATCTAAATATGGGTTGTAAGTGGGTTTGTCCACGGGTTCCATGTTGGCCCCGTGCAACTTACCCATGTGGGTTTTATGCAGGATTTCCCTGGGCTTTAGGTGGGCCCAACTGGGGATGATATGCAAAACCCATCTGGGTCCCATCTAAATATGGGTTGTAAGTGGGTTTGTCCACGGGTTCCATGTTGGCCCCGTGCAACTTACCCATGTGGGTTTTATGCAGGATTTCCCTGGGCTTTAGGTGGGGCCCAACTGGGGATGATATGCAAAACCCATCTGGGTCCCATCTAAATATGGGTTGTAAGTGGGTTTGTCCACGGGTTCCATGTTGGCCCCGTGCAACTTACCCATGTGGGTTTTATGCAGGATTTCCCTGGGCTTTAGGTGGGGCCCAACTGGGGATGATATGCAAAACCCATCTGGGTCCCATCTAAATATGGGTTGTAAGTGGGTTTGTCCACGGGTTCCATGTTGGCCCCGTGCAACTTACCCATGTGGGTTTTATGCAGGATTTCCCTGGGCTTTAGGTGGGGCCCAACTGGGGATGATATGCAAAACCCATCTGGGTCCCATCTAAATATGGGTTGTACAGTGGGTACGGAAAGTATTCAGACCCCCTTACATTTTTCACTCTTTGTTATATTGCAGCCATTTGCTAAAATCATTTAAGTAAATTTTTTTTTTCTCATTAATGTACACACAGCACCCCATATTGACAGAAAAACACAGAATTGTTGACATTTTTGCAGATTTATTAAAAGAGAAAAACTGAAATATCACATGGTCCTAAGTATTCAGACCCTTTGCTCAGTATTTAGTAGAAGCATCCTTTTGATCTAATACAGCCATGAGTCTTTTTGGGAAAGATGCAACAAGTTTTTCACACCTGGATTTGGGGATCCTCTGCCATTCCTCCTTGCAGATCCTCTCCAGTTCTGTCAGGTTGGATGGTAAACGTTGGTGGACAGCTAATTTTAGGTCTCTCCAGAGATGCTCAATTGGGTTTAAGTCAGGGCTCTGGCTGGGCCATTCAAGAACAGTCACAGAGTTGTTGTGAAGCCACTCCTTCGTTATTTTAGCTGTGTGCTTAGGGTCATTGTCTTGTTGGAAGGTAAACCTTTGGCCCAGTCTGAGGTCCTGAGCACTCTGGAGAAGGTTTTCGTCCAGGATATCCCTGTACTTGGCTGCATTCATCTTTCCCTCGATTGCAACCAGTCGTCCTGTCCCTGCAGCTGAAAAACACCCCCACAGCATGATGCTGCCACCACCATGCTTCACTGTTGGGACTGTATTGGACAGGTGATGAGCAGTGCCTGGTTTTCTCCACACATACCTCTTAGAATTAAGGCCAAAAAGTTCTATCTTGGTCTCATCAGACCAGAGGATCTTATTTCTCACCATCTTGGAGTCCTTCAGGTGTTTTTTTAGCAAACTCCATGCGGGCTTTGCACTGAGGAGAGGCTTCCGTTGGGCCACTCTGCCATAAAGCCCCGACTGGTGGAGGGCTGCAGTGATGGTTGACTTTCTACAACTTTCTCCCATCTCCCGACTGCATCTCTGGAGCTCAGCGACAGTGATCTTTGGGTTCTTCTTTACCTCTCTCACCAAGGTTCTTCTCCCCCGATAGCTCAGTTTGGCCGGATGGCCAGCTCTAGGAAGGGTTCTGGTCGTCCCAAACGTCTTCCATTTAAGGGTTATGGAGGCCACTGTGCTCTTAGGAACCTTAAGTGCAGCAGAAATTTTTTTGTAACCTTGGCCAGATCTGTGTCTTGCCACAATTCTGTCTCTGAGCTCTTCAGGCAGTTCCTTTGACCTCATGATTCTCATTTGCTCTGACATGCACTGTGAGCTGTAAGGTCTTATATAGACAGGTGTGTGGCTTTCCTAATCAGGTCCAATCAGTATAATCAAACACAGTTGGACTCAAATGAAGGTGTAGAACCATCTGAAGGATGATCAGAAGAAATGGACAGCACCTGAGTTAAATATATGAGTGTCACAGCAAAGGGTCTGAATAGTTAGGACCATGTGATATTTCAGTTTTTTTTTTTTAATAAATCTGCAAAAATGTCAACAATTCTGTGTTTTTCTGTCAATATGGGGTGCTGTGTGTACATTAATGAGGAAAAAAAATTAACTTAAATGATTTTAGCAAATGGCTGCAATATAACAAAGAGTGAAAAATTTAAGGGGGTCTGAATACTTTCCGTACCCACTGTATATATATATATATATATATATATATATGCATGTATGTACAATTTTAGTTATTTATTATTGACTGGAAGTGTACATATGTTTAATAAAAAATATTAATCATAACAGAATACAATAAAATAAAGATTTTAATTTATAGAGTGAGGGAAACTGGGATCAAATAACCAAAAAAATTATAATAATTTTTAATAACCATGCAAAGTTGCAACCGAACTTATCCAGGATCTATTTGTATTCTGAGTTTGATTTGGAAGTTGCACTCAGAAACCTGTTGGCTCAGAAATCACGGGTACATGATGTCTCTGTCTGCGTTGCGTCTCAAGCACAAAGAGGGAAGAGGAAAGTTTTATTAGACTATTCACAGGGCTTTGAATCAGTGTGAGTGTGTAATTTTTTCTGATTCTTTTATTGTCTCTGCAGGGTGACAAGGAGGCAGAACTAGGGCTGCCGTTCTCTCCATTATGTGACCGGAAAGCTACCATGATTGCCCAGTCTCAGATAGGTACAGTAGAGCTGACACACACACACACACACACACACACACACACACACAAGCACTGATAGCCACTGAGGCCATGTTTGCAACAGCATAGATTATGCATGGAATAGACAGACATTCTGCTACAATTTCCAAAAGAAGCACAGTGCATGCAATACTGTAGTTTGACTTTCCATTTTCAAGGCTGATAAATAAACATCTTATTTTGAGTCATTATTTAATCAGACTACCAAATGCTAGTTTAATTAATTGCATGATGAGCCGATTAATTATTCAGATTAATCACAAATTAATCGCACATAAATTTTGGCTGAGAAATTACCTTATTCAAAAGATCATTTATCGGTAATTTTTGTGTTCGATGAGAAAAGCATTGAATAGACATTTTAGAAAAACAATAATATAAAAAAGTACGTTAAAAATGCTAAATAACTTTTTTGCAACATGGTAACTTGATGCCACTTATGAACATCCATGTATTATATGCAAAATTAGCATATTTTGCACAGTATACGTAATATAATACTATAGAAATATTACAGGAGGGAATAGTATCAGAGTTACTATGCTGTTGTGAACACGTCCATACAGACGTGCCTTTAGTGCCGTCGTGCTCAGCTCTTTACTGCCATCAAGAGGCTGTTGAGGCAATTACATGCTCTCTTGTAATATTTAATGGATCTCATAAAATAAATGTGCTTTGATTTAATGACACAATAACTACAGGCATCTTGATTGGATCGAAAGCCATTATTGCTAATGAGTTTCTAGCTAGTTAAATAAATGACAAATGTTTCTAAACAAATGTTGATCATTTTGTTTAGGAATTCTTGAACTTAACTTCTATTGAATTATTCTATTGAAAACTTTTCCAGACACATGATCCCGTAGCCTGTTGAAATATCAGCTGTGTTTAGTGAGATGTAGTGCCTGGGAGAATATAATCCTATAGCTGATCTCACTTCCTGTCTCCTCCCAGAGTTAGCCAATAAACAGCATGAGAGAATGTCAGACCTGGAAGAGGAGCCCATGACAAACACACAAGTCACACTGTCCCACAGCAGTCCAGCCAGAGGGAGTCACGACTCCGAGTCAAAGTCCCTGAACGAACTGAACAATACGGACTCCACTCACTCTTCCCAGGACTCTCTGGACCAGAGTTCCCAGTCCCCTGCAGAGGGACCGGGTGACGGTTCACCAGAGGAACACAGCTCAGAAACTCTGCCTTGGAACGGCAAAAGCGCCTGACGTCACACGGATGGTGCCAAGCCTGAATGTTTTTAATCAGAAACAGGATGATGTACATAGCATTGTCCTCATTGTATTGTAATGCTATTATACTCTCGGGCTCGGAGGGCTAATTGTGCAGACAGACGCACGGAATGTCCACAGAGTGAGACGGTAGTGTGCAGTGTTGTCATGGCGACTGTGTTATTGCTGGAGACCGACCTCTATCATCCCCTTGAGGAGGATTTAGCGAGTCCCTGAAACGTAACGCTACCTGTTTGCTTCCCGAGCTTTATTCCTGTTGGTTCAATTAGTTTTTTTTTTTGTAAATTGTTTTTTTTTTCTCTCGTTTTTTGTTTGTTTGTTTGTAGACTGTCATTATTTATTAAAGATTACACAGCTACACTTTGCACCACAGTTAGTTTCAATTGCAATGAAAATGTTATCATGCAAAAAAATAAAAAAATAAAAAATTCAGGATGGGGTGAAATGTACCTAGACATTTATGAGATTCTCCTTAGACTTTATAATCTATATCAAATGTGCTATTGAAGTCAACAATAAGACAGATGTACATTTTGTACTTCATACAGTATATTTGTTGGAAATACTTGTTCATCAAATTTACTACAGATTTATTGTTTCAGAAAAATATTAATAGGGTGCTGTTAAAGAGCAGTCATATGTTCAAAAGCATTTACATTTACTAAATTTGCTCTGTCATCTTATAAAAACCAATTTTTGACAGTATTATAACACATTGATGAAGGTTGATTATTTTTTGGAAAAAAAATGTGTGTGTGTGTGTGTTGCAGAAGATCTAAAATACTCTAACCATGTTAGCATGTACAGTATCAAGCTTTAACTCCATGTATAAAGCCCACGTTTCAGACACTCATGTCAAAGAGCTGTTGGGCTGTACAACAGCTGTGTGGGACTTCAGAGTCATGTCTGCATAAAAAAACAGCCATATACCTACAAAAATATTGCTTCTGTCAGAGAAAGTTTCATCAAAGCCTCAAGCACTTTCCACATGAGGTGATAAAAAAAAAAAAAACGTGGCAGGATGTGATTGGCTTGACAATCCTCCCCATGTATTGCTAATAAGTGTATTACACTTTCATATTACAACTCATGATGAATTACAACTACATGAAAGTTAATATATTATTAAATAAATCACAATACCAGAGAATGTACGGCAGGGATAAAAAAAAAAGTTTGAGATCACTACTAAAAAAGCCTCTATTGTGCATATATATATACAGTGGGTACGGAAAGTATTCAGACCCCCTTACATTTTTCACTCTTTGTTATATTGCAGCCATTTGCTAAAATCATTTAAGTTAATTTTTTTTCCTCATTAATGTACACACAGCATATATATATATATATATGCTTTATAAATAATAATTTACAGTATCAACATTTGGACCTCTTAGTATTTTGGAATGAAATTGCATAAATGTATAAAATGGCTGTGAAATTTACTTTCAAACTATTTTACCAATGGGGGAAAAAGGGTTAAACTAAAAAACAGTTCCCAAACAATATTATAAATGACATCACTTCCTCATGTAATTCAACCAGTGTTACTCCGTCTGACTGTCTTGCCATTCCCCGCTGTTCTCTTCTTCCTCCTGGAAAAGTGAAGGGTCTGTCTGTTTTTTCAGCATCTTTATCCCTGTCAAAAGAGGAGATTTGGGCAACAGTCAGCTTTCACCTTTCCATAACAGGTGTGACTCCTAAACCGGATTCACACAACAGCTTACTGTATGAACACTGAACCGTATTAACAGTACTGTATGAACAAACCGATGTCAATCCCCTTTGTTCTCGCGTTAGACTTGACTATTACCTTAACCATAGTGACAGTGACTAAATTAGACGATGACGTGGATAACAGTAAAATTTATTTTGTAAGTTGACGCAACACGATTGCAGCCGTTATATTTTAGTTAACCGATAGCAGAACAACCTGAGTAGCAAGCATATCGTTTGAGAATATTAAACTGACGGGAGCAGATCAGACAGCTCACGCCTCCAGTCTGTGAGTTACCGAAACTACCGAAACAAATTAAAACGAGCGACATTGCGTGGCTATGTGATAGAAAACTAACGTTAGCTGTCCGGCGGAGGGTGAACCAAGGCTGAAAGTAGCCTAATGGTACTGTAATCTATTAACAACACACATCACAAACCGTCATTTTAGGTAAGTACCAGATATGGGTGTCATGTCATAAAGTATTTTTAAAGGGGTCCTATTATGCTTTTTCACTTTTTGAATTTTAGTCAGTGTGTATGTTTGGCACAGAGAAAAATACTGTAGCAGGCAGATCACTCACTGTTCATGACGCACGAACTATTGGAAGAAAATCCTCAATATTGATTTGGGGATTTATATTAAAGGGGTCCTATTATGCTTTTTCACTTTTTGAATTTTAGTCAGTGTGTAGTGTGTATGTTTGGGCATAAAAAAGATCTACAAAGTTACAAATCTCAAAGTCCACTCCAAAGGGAGATATTTCGTTTTTTTTTTAATCCCTTTTCAAGAACTACAACGAACGGCTCGTTTGGACTACAGCGTTTGTTTTCCGGGTTTTGTGATAACACAAAGCGGCTCATTAAAATATCATTAAAATAATTCCCGCCTATGGAAATTCGAATGGTTGGGGGGTGGGGAGGGGCGAGGTCGTGGTTAGAACGCTTGGTTGAGTGCAACAGACAAGATGACGAGGAAGAAGAAGTGCTGCTGTAGCCTCAAGTTTTAGCAAGTTATTACACATGCACCAAGTTATTACACATGCACCTGAATAATTATGTATGTAAATATGTATGTTACAATTATGAAAATTTTTTAACTGAGCGCAGCTTTGTGTACAGCCGTTACCAGGGAAACGTTGAGCTCTACCACTCCAACAGCGCCTCCTGCTGGCAGAGAATGAGTTTGCATATATATGCCGCCTGGGAAACACTGGACTATGGTATATATAAATAGTTTCACTGCAATTCATGTTATAATGTTAGAATTAAATAACAATAAAAATAATACAAATGCACTTATCTGTACATAGTAAATATAGTTATTTTTAAGCGGTTGTTGACATCCTATCTAAAACGTGATTTAGCAAAAAAAAAAACAACAATAATGTTACCACTCTTAATATGTCTTGCAATATCCGTGCATGCAAAGGTTCTGCGCGATCCTCTTGTTCAATATTCTCTGGGTCTGAATCCGGCTCAAATTGATATGGCAATATTAATGCCATCCTTAACTAAACCGGAGCAGACGGAACTTGCTGATTTGGCAAGGGGCGGGGCAGTACTGAAACACCGTCTAAGCTAAGAATTGGGCACAACACCAGCCTTAGTTACTGTTGGCTAGGGATGGGCGATACCACTTATTTTGTTTTCGATATGATACCAATACTTTTAAAGGCCAGTATCGTCGATATCGATACCGATACGATACTTCTAAACTGAACTTTTAAATTATGAAATGTATTAAATTATTACATTACTAAGAGTAATATGGGTAATGATACCAACTTAACTTTATATTTGAAACGCATTTTAACATTCAATACACATTAATTACAACTTATTAGGTTATATTTTTGTTTAAACATGGATAAAATATGTTTACTGTAGTGGTAACTATGGAAATCTACAAATACTATAGTTGAACTATAGTATTTGTAGATTTCCATAGTTACCATATATGGTCACTTTAGTAAAACCATGGTTCATTTTCATAAGGGACTGCCAGTGACAGGCTTTTGCACGCATAAAATGCAACCTTTATTCTGACAGTGTATGATTTATACTAACATTACAGAATAGAACATGATCAATATGAACTTTAAACGTTCAATTTAAATAAATGTAATCGCACAAACTATGTAGGCCACAATTTCAGTTTGTTTATTGTGAAATAACTCAAACATATATGTTTTTTCTGTCCTCTGATAAGCATTGTTCTGGGCTGCGTTTCCCAAAAGCATCAGAAGTGAGTGAACACGCTCTGTGATTGATTAGTTCTGTCTTGCATCATTTGCGTGTGTTCAGGAAAATAGTTCTATCCTACACAATTATTCACTAACATAGGTTATTCGTCCAATTCAATACATATTGTACGCATTAATTTTTTGTTAAATAAACAAAATCACTGGTAAAAAAAACACACCTTAGTATCGATATTTTTTATTTGAGTATGGATACTTTCGATACTCGCATCAGTACCGATATATCGATACTTCAGGATCGATACGCCCATCCCTACTTTTGGCCCTTTAATGTGACGTGACAGACCGCTGTAGCGCCTCAAGTGGCACGTGAATCGATAAGCTCTTCCTCTTTACTAGTTATAGCACAAAATAAACATGAATGAACATCAGAAGGTATATTGCTCAAGTCCACCGATGTTAATCTACTCTCCTGTTTAGTTTGTTTGTCGGACAAAAATGGCAGATTTGGCATTATGATTGGTCAGATCGCCTGTCAATCAAACTCCAGTCAGCGCGCGTGCATACTAAACAAAACGAGACAGGGGTAGCTGCCAGAGATTGTCTTATTATTGGGAGGTTAGGGTTAGGTATTACTTACTATTGGAGTTGTGCGACACTCAATCGCCATTTACGGATGCCACAGGAATGAATGAGAAGTGCCGTAAGCTAAATCCCACCTGTCGCAAAAAGTCAGTGACTTCTCTTATAAAACGGCATTTGTTTTCCCCGTGTAAACTCTAAAAATAGTTAAATCCAAAACTTGCTTAGTGTAAAACATGTTGGAGATTAGCCACTAGGCTGTCAATTCATTAAATTACAAGCTGTTTCCTCTAAAAAGCTGTTTATTCAGAGTAGTGAAGCCTCTCCTCCATTGACATCCATTAAAAAAATTAAAAAAAACGGCCTCTGGTCTCCTTTCCCACATACTGGCAACCCGGAAGTGTTAGCATTACCCGTTACACTTTTTTGGCTAAAGGTTGCAGGCTTGCCTTCTAGTGGCTTTGGTAGCTGCAGCCTGGAGTAATGGGCGTGCCGAAAGGTGAATCAGTACAACAGAAACTACCCCTAACCCAGCTCTAACCCTACCCCCTCACCCTGACAGACAGCTTTGTTGATCAATCATGAAGACCTTTCTCCACGTCCATTGCTCCAGCTGACACACTGACTAATGTGAACGGCTCTGATTTATAAATGCAATGAAATTGTGTGTGATTGGTTATAATGCGCAACATTGTATAAACGCGTAAAAAGAAATATGATGCAACATTAGCAGATCTAAACTTAATGCATCAGTCAACACTTTTCGTTTCATTTTTATTTTATTTACGACAGCCGTAATGGATATAGTTTAATTGTGCAGGGGCATTTTTGTCCCAAACATTATTTTCCGAACCGTGGCCAGGGTAAGGCCTTGCCCAGCCTGACACACGCTCCGCTTATGTGTCCAACAGTTCCGGGGTAACACAGCTGAGGTTTGCTTAAAATTTAAAAGCACTACAGTTCAAAAGTTTGGGGCAAGAAAGATTTTTAAAATACTTTAATAGAGCACAGATGCATTAAATGTATCAAAAGTGACAGTAAAGATGTACAATGTCACAAACGATTTCTGTTTCAAGTAAATGCTGTTCTTTTGAACTTTCTATTCATCAGAGAATCGTGAAAGAAAATGTATCATAGTTTCCACAAAAAATATTAAGCAGCACAGCTGTTTTCAACATTGATAATAATAAGAAATGTTTTTGGCATTGGATTCTCTTTTGGGTATCTGGATATCTTTTTGCTAAATTCTCAGATCAAAGTTCACAAACGTTCATATGCATATGAGTGGTAGTTAATAGAACAAAAGACTGACATGAACCAATGGACCAACAAACAACAAATTAATATAATATAAAAATCGTAGTGAAAGCTTGTCCTACATGTCATGTTTCCCCAGTATTATGTATTATGTGCTTATGATCTGGTCCTACCAGGGACGAAGGGTGGCTGGTGCTGGTACGGTGTGTCTTTGCGTCGTGGTGACAGGTCTCCGGGTTCCTCGGACAGTGTGTCCAGGTGTTTTTGAGAGAGTCTTGGAGGATGAAGACTCTCTCGTTCCTCTTGCTGGCTATCACTATGCTCTCTACCTGCAGGACGAACACAGCGTGAGTCCCAGCATGCACCTGTCCCAGTGTGATCTGACTTACCCATCTAGATCCAGTTGAATAGACTTAGTTAGTTCAAAGGTTAATTTACGATCATTTCAACGCAGAAGAATATAGACAATAGGTATGATAAGCTCTTTTCTTAAAGGTGAAGCATGGCATTTTTGAGCAAACACAAACGCAGAATTAATATTTTTTTAAAGTTTCATCTTTTGTATGGATGTAAAAGCTTATTGACTATCTTTGTAATGCACTTGCGCATTAAAAAAATAAACAAAGATACTTCTCATTTCTACTTCAATGGGGAAAGACCAACATTTCCTGATGCCCACAACTGTTCTGTTGTTACAACATATTTTCAAATCAGCAATAAAATCTGACAACAGGTATCACATTTAGAAGCGATGCCTTTATCAAAAAGCTGAACAGAAAAGCAGGACTTTATTTCTTACAGTCGCCATACTGAATATTCTTCCCCAATTATTTTTCTTCTCTTTCCACAGAGAAGAGAATCTGGTGTGGTGCTGCTAGTTTGCACAGAAGTGACATACTTCACCTTTAAGCCTCATTATATGTCTTATAGCATAAATAACACATAGTGTGCTGCAGGGATGACATCTTTTTGTAGGCCAAAACCTGGAAATAAGTTTGCATTTTAGCACTTTTTAGCCGTTTCCATTGTCCTGATGTCTTTTTTGGTTAATTGGTTAAAACAAAATACATATTTTAACGTTTTATTCTACAACATAAAATACAACAGTAATACCTTCTCATGCTTTTTTTAAAGGTTTTACTTGACTTGAAAAAGCCGGTTGCAAACAAGGGGCTAAACCGGACTACTGAAGTTGTAGTATTAAACATCATCCCAACGAACAGGAAAACTTATCAACTCACCAGTCACTTTTACAATCAAGCTGTTTTTATTTGCACTTTTGAAAACTATTCTAACTCAAACTTTCAGGGACTTTAAAAAAAAAATAAAGATTGAAAGAATTGTGAAAGCTTAATGGTGGTGACATTGAAGTCATGCAGCCATGGTGTAGTTTATAGTCTACGTTTAACTTTTTACTTAGGCTTCAAAAAAGTTGTTAATTTGTGAAGATTATCATGATGAACAAATCATATAAGAATTATAAACTTTTGTTGGTCACAGAGCTGCAAAAATCCAAAAGCCAGTGGAAAAATCCTATTGGGTTTTTGTTGAGGGAACAAGTGTGATGCTAAATAAAAAAAAATGCCTACAAAAATACGTCATGTGCTCTATTAGGTCTAAGATTGAGACATTTTGGAAGTGGGAGATGAAGAACCAAAATGACAGTAACATTAGATAAACAGCACTTACTCAAAATTATTTACATCATTCCTTTTTTTTTTTTTTTTCAAGCTCCAAAAAAGTTTATTTCATTGTCTCTACTTCACAAGTAAATCCATACCCATAAAGAAATTATTACAACCGATCTGAAAGTGCCAAAAATATGCTGCCCGCATTTCTGATTCCACAGATATACATATTGGAAATATTTCAAATGCCATTTTATCAAATAGAAAAACAAACAGGACAGATCATTTCGGTACAGATTTCAGAGTGAAGAACAAGCATTACATTTCACACAAATAAAACTGATTAAAGGAAGTCATCACTGGAAGTGAACTTAGAAAGAGGTGAGAAAGTACAATATGTGTATTTAGAGAAAGCATGTCTTCTTATTCAGAGTCCAAAGAGTGGAGGGGACAGTAAATGTTTAGGAAGGGTCTACGGTGTGCCAGGTACGTTATTACAGCTATCGAGAGACAGATGAAGGACTGCTCAAGTTTTTCTGCTCACTTCCTGAGGTGTCTGCTGTGTCTCCTGTATATGAATATACAAAACAATGGTAGTAATAATATAAAAAATAATAATAGAAAAAAATAGGAATTAAAAAAAAAAAAGTAGAGGAGAGACAGAGACAAAAAAAGTCTTGTCAGTCAAGTGCAGCAGATCTTCCATCCAAGCAATCAGCTTTTCTTTAGATAATCATGCACCAAGATATTGTTTATGAAGAATAAAAGCATAATATAATTTAATTTAATTTAATTTAAAATAAGATAATTAAATCAATAAATGAAACAGAAATTACATGTACCAATTTATTTTGTATTATAAAAAAAACTATTAATTAAATCTATTATATGTACACATTTTGCAGTGCAAAATAATAGATAGAATAATAATAATAGATAATTGACAGACAGACAGACAGACAGACAGACAGACAGATAGATAGATAGATAACAGACAGACAGACAGACAGATAGATAGATATATAGATAGATAGATAAAAACATTTTCACGATATCCACTTACATAAAACCACTGCATAAAATAAACCAATGCATTTCATTCATTTATTTATGTATTTATTTAAATATATAAATAGATTCAGCTTGTTGCCAAGACAATTTTCCATTTTAATTTAGTTTAACTTGATGTACTAAAATAACTTAAAACAAAAATGCTATAATTTTAACTAAAAAATAAAAATTGATTGAAAATATTAATATAAACAATAGTATCTCAATGAACTAAAGTAACACTGGCTTCAAGATATGATTGTTAATAATAACAGACTTCATTTCCAAATCCTTATTGACGAATCATGAATTTACGGACCCAGAGTGATTTTTCATAATAAAATATTTTTTAAAGTATTATTTAAATGCAGTAGTTTTGTTAAGGCTTTCATTGAATAATAAATTGAAATAAATTAATGATTTATTTAATTGATTTCATTATTTAATTTAGAGTACATTGGTCCTCCATAATTCTCTGCACAGATTTATTTTATCCGTTTATTGTATCCGTTTTATCTATTACAAGTGAGGGATTGTTACATGTACTTTCCTAGCTACCTATATATTGTTCAAAGCAACGATATTACCACTGCTTCCCAGTTTTTGTTCTGGACTTACCCCCGGCCCCACTGCTGCCTGGCTGTCCCTCAGTACTGACATAAGTCTCATTGCCATTGGGCTCTGAGCTGTTGTGATTGGCCCACTGAGCTTCGTTGGCAAAATGCTGTGCTGTGATTGGACTGGGCGTGTCTGGGCTGTCAGAGAGCCCCGCCTCCTGCTGCTCCTGCCTCTGAAAGTGCTGCTCCACCACCAGCTGCAGCTCTGCACTCAACACAGGACACACAGCACAGCGCCACACAGTGGACACAGGCTATCAGCACAGGCGTGCAGTGTGCGGAACAGTGTGAGACCTCTGAACCCCATCCAAATGTGACATCAGTTGAAGTACACTCAACGGTCGGCTATGAAATGGAAAATGAATGACTTGCGAGATGTATGCATGCTATGTATCTCAAACCAAAAAACAAAAGGACCAGTATTTAGGCATTTAAAGTATTTATTTAAACTTAAAAAACTTGGCCTTAGGTCTGGGCAATATAGAAAATAAACAAACAAATAAACAACAACAACATAAACAATATTTACCTACATAGAATTTTACTAAAATTAATAATATTTTATAATAATATTTTATTAGTCATTTTTATAATATAATGTAATATAAAACAAGGAAAGGATAGATTGTGAAATTGTGAAAATTAAAATAATTCATTTTATATCGCCAGCAAAATCAACACAAATATGAAAAATAAAACCATGAATACACAATATATCGCCCAGCCCTAGTTGGGCTGACATCAGTTTTGATCAACAGCACCATATTTCTTGGTGACGTATCAAAGTAGAGAACTAATGCACTGTAAGCTGATAGCTCTCTCATGAAGCAGATCTGAAAGCATCTTAAGAGCTTTCAGAAAGTTTCATCTGCAGACCTCCAAATGTAACTGTCTGATGATGATGATGCCTAATACTTACAGTTATCATTTACACAATATACTCATCTAGAACGACATAATTACCTATGTGTTAAAAATGATTGTTTAAAAGAGAGAATTCATCATAATTGAAATAACTTGGGGGAAAAATAAAAAAAATAAAATCAAGATGCAAAACAATAAAAAGTAAATCAGGGAATCCTAAATAATAAGCTACCAGTAACAAAACAAAGCTGTGTTTTACACAGAGATGTTAAAGCGCAACAGATGTAGATGAGTGTGTTTCTTCATCAGAACAGATTTGGAGAAATTTAGCATTACATTACTTGCTCACCAGTGGATAGTCTGCAGTGAATGGGTGCCGTCAGAATGAGAGTCAAAACAGCTCATTAAAAAAAATATAAATAATCTAAATAATCCACAAGTAATCCACACGACTCCAGTCCACCAATTAATGTCTGGTGAAGTGAAAAGCTGTGTGTTAGTAAGAAACAAATCACTTATTAAGATGGTTTAACTTGAAGAAACAAACTCATCTATATCTTGGATTGCCTGAGGGTACATTTTCAGCAGTTTTTCATTTTTGGGTGAATTATTCCTTTAAATATGCTTCCGTAAAAGCCACAAATCTTAAAACAAAGAAATGTTCTGAATACTTTTTTTTAGATCTTAGAGCTGGTTTAATTCATGGCTTTGAACTCTTAACTGAAGAGTATTTTGAAATCCTAGTAGAGAAAATGAATGGGGAAAACACTCCCACAATCAAGACCACTAAAAAATAGGCACTCACTAAACCGCTACATACACTCAGCAGTTTTACCCTGGAATGAGTTCAGCTCACCACTTTGTCGCTATCCAAAGCAATCTTCTCAAAACTTCTAACAATCTTTTCACAGACAAGAGACCCCTACTTACACAAATGAGGATCTGACATCCCTGAACCATGACAAGTTCACACCAGTACAGTACTTGGCATCACTCGCCTATCAGATTGCTTTAGCTGTTTCTGCCCTGCACCGACCAAAAGAATGCTGAGTGTTCATTCAAAACTGCTCTGCCAGGCTGTCCATTTGAGGCCATCTCTCTAGAATGATGTATCTCTCTCTCCTCCCCCCACTCCAATCAATAGCTCAAGCTAATGTGAATTTAGCACATCCATGCCAGGAAATGGCCTTGTCTATGAGTCAGCGAGGCAGACTCCACCACTCTCCATCCCCCATCTCATTGTCTTAAAGGGTTAGTTCAGCCAAAAATGAAAAATCTGTCATTAATTAGATGCAAAACAATAAAAAGTAAATCAGGGAATCCTAAATAATAAGCTACCAGTAACAAAACAAAGCTGTGTTTTACACAGAGATGTTAAAGCGCAACAGATGTAGATGAGTGTGTTTCTTCATCAGAACAGATTTGGAGAAATTTAGCATTACATTACTTGCTCACCAGTGGATAGTCTGCAGTGAATGGGTGCCGTCAGAATGAGAGTCAAAACAGCTCATTAAAAAAAATATAAATAATCTAAATAATCCACAAGTAATCCACACGACTCCAGTCCACCAATTAATGTCTGGTGAAGTGAAAAGCTGTGTGTTAGTAAGAAACAAATCACTTATTAAGATGGTTTAACTTGAAGAAACAAACTCATCTATATCTTGGATTGCCTGAGGGTACATTTTCAGCAGTTTTTCATTTTTGGGTGAATTATTCCTTTAAATATGCTTCCGTAAAAGCCACAAATCTTAAAACAAAGAAATGTTCTGAATACTTTTTTTTAGATCTTAGAGCTGGTTTAATTCATGGCTTTGAACTCTTAACTGAAGAGTATTTTGAAATCCTAGTAGAGAAAATGAATGGGGAAAACACTCCCACAATCAAGACCACTAAAAAATAGGCACTCACTAAACCGCTACATACACTCAGCAGTTTTACCCTGGAATGAGTTCAGCTCACCACTTTGTCGCTATCCAAAGCAATCTTCTCAAAACTTCTAACAATCTTTTCACAGACAAGAGACCCCTACTTACACAAATGAGGATCTTTCACACCAGTACAGTACTTGGCATCACTCGCCTATCAGATTGCTTTAGCTGTTTCTGCCCTGCACCGACCAAAAGAATGCTGAGTGTTCATTCAAAACTGCTCTGCCAGGCTGTTCATTTGAGGCCATCTCTCTAGAATGATGTATCTCTCTCTCCTCCCCCCACTCCAATCAATAGCTCAAGCTAATGTGAATTTAGCACATCCATGCCAGGAAATGGCCTTGTCTATGAGTCAGCGAGGCAGACTCTACCACTCTCCCTCCCCCATCTCATTGTCTTAAAGGGTTAGTTCAGCCAAAAATGAAAAATCTGTCATTAATTACTCACCCTCGTGTTGTTCTAAACCCGTAAGACCTTCGTTCGTCTTCGGAACACAATTTAAGATATTTTTGATGAAATCTGAGGGCTCTCTGACCCTCCCCATAGACAGCAAGGTAACTACCACGGTCAAGGTCCAGAAAAGTACCAAGATGATCGACAAAGTAGTCCGTGTGACATCAGTGGTTCAACTGTAAAGTTACGAAGCTACGAGAATACTTTTTTGCG